CTATTCCGTTTCTCTTCCTTTCTTCCTATCCCCCGGTCATCCTCGTATTCTCCTTTTGTTTTCTTCCTTATTTTCTGGTCTTTCTAGTATTCCCTGCTATTTTCCTCCTCCCACTCTTTCCTCTAACTTAACCCGTATCTCCTTTTTCTTTCTTTCTCCTCCTATCTATTTCTCCCTTTTTATCTTCCTCTCCTTTCCTCTCCCCGCCTATCTCTTCTTCTCCTTCTCTCTTTCCCTTTCAATTTCTCCTTTGTATCATCCTCCCCTTTCCTCTCCCCGCCTATCCCTTCTTCTCCTTCTCTCTTCCCCTATCTATTTCTCCTTTCTATCTTCATTCCCATTCCTCTTTTTTCCCTCCTGTCGCTCTCTCTCTCTTTCTCTCTCCCCCCAATCTACTTTTCCTCTTTTTTCTCTTCGCCCTCTTCCTCCCGTTTCATCCAGTATCCTACTTCTCACTGTCTCCCCCACCCCCCTCCTCCTCCTCCCTCGCCTCCCCATCTCCCCGTCCCTCCCAGTAACCCCCCCCCCAAGACCCAACCCCAATACCTAGTCTCCCCATCACGTACCCCCTTCCCTCCCACCCCTTCCCCCTCGTTGGGCATGATACCCAAGTTTCATCTCTCCACCTATGTCCCTCTTCCTTTCTCCCCCTCCCCCCTCCCCCTTCCCCTCCCTCCTCTCCCCCTCTTTCTCTGCTCTATCTCAGTTTTCATTCTCCTTCTCGTCTTCCCTCCTTCCCTCCCTCTTTGGCTTTCGCTATGAATCGCATTATCGTATTTCTCTATTTTTATTTATCTGTTTATTTAATTATTATTATTGCTATTAATATCTTTATCATTATCATTATAATTACTGTTATTATTAACCTCACTATAATTATTATTATTATTATCCTCACTATTATTATTATTAACCTCACTATCATTATTATTATTATTAACCTCACTATCATTATTATTATTATTAACCTCACAATCATTATTATTATTATTATCCTCACTATTATTATTATTAACCTCATTATCATTATTATTATTATTATCCTCACTATTATTATTATTATCATCATCAGCATTACAATAGTTTTATTCTTCCTGTTAAAGTTGTCCTTGCTATTCTTATTATTAAGACACTGTTAGTCTATCATTGTCTATTTTGTCTGCCTGTCTCTGGCTCTGTTTGCCTTTCGCTCTCCTGTCATAAAGAGCATGACACCCGTGGAGCTTCGGGTGTCATACCTACGTGACAAAAATCCCTTTCCAGACACCCCTCCCCCCCTTTGCTCCTCCCCCTTCCCTCCAACCCCTCGTATTTAACACCCCTCCCCCCCACCCTCATCCCCACCTTTAAACCCACATCATCACCCCTTCTCTCCCCCCCCCCCCCCACTATCTTGCCTAACTCCCTTCTCTCTGTCCCTTCATTCTCTTTTGTCCAGCATCTCTCTCTCTCTCTCTCTCTCTCTCTCTCTCTCTCTCTCTCTCTCTCTCTCTCTCTCTCTCTCTCTCTCTCTCTCTCTCTCATTATTACTATTATCATTCCTGTTGTCATGAACCTTATTTTCATCTAGTATCAGTATTCCATTATCATCAACAACTGTCAATGTTTTATTTAAAAGATTTAACAATTTAAGATTTAAAGTGAAATTTCTCATGTCGCATTGTCATTTTTTTTCACTTTTTTAGTTACTCTTTGAAAATGGAAGCTGATTAGTTAATTAGAGTTAATTACGGTTGACATGTGAGTAGCATTTGCCTTATTATAGGTAAGATGTAATGAACACACAAACACACACACACATGCGCACACACACACACAAACACACACGCACAAACAAACACACACACAAACAAACACACACAAACAAACACACACAAACAAACACACACAAAATAATAATAATAATAATAATAATAATAATAATAATAATAATAATAAATGATAATAATAATAATAGAAAAAATAACGGCTTTCCCATCATTACGAAATCAGTCTACACATCCGGAGGTTATAAAATGAATATATTACATCACAATGCACACAGTCATAAAAATTCTTTTTTGTGTGCGTGTGTTTTTACGACCCACTAACTATAGTGACACAATAACCGTTATTCTGAGCTCAGTGGGAGTCATAAGGTAGTTTGGTTATTTTCTGAACATTGCAATATATGTATCTTGATTTATATTGAAAGACCTGTCTATTTAGGAGTCTGTCTGTCGGCTTAGCGAAGTGTTTGTCTTTTTGTCTTTTTGTCTATTTGTCTGTCTGTCTAATTATTTGTCTGACTGTCTACGATTTCGAAGAAAATAGCAGAGATGATGGTGATGACAATGATAGTCATATGGTGCATCATTATTATCATCATTATTATTATTATTATTTTTTTATTATTATCATTATTTTATTATCATTAGTTTATTATTATTATTATTATTATTATTATTATTATTACTATTATTATCATTATCATTATCATTATCATCATCATCATCATTATTATTATTATTACTATTCCTTCTATTATTATCATTGCCATTATTATTATTACTACTATTATTATTATTATTATTATTATTATTATTATTATTATTATTATTATTATTATTATTATTATTATTATTATTATTATTATTATTATTACTATTACTACTACTACTACTATTGTTACCATTATTATTATTATCATCATTATTTCAATTATCATTATTATTGCTATTATCATTATCATTATTATTATCATTATTATTATCATATCATTGTGACTATTATGAGATGCTAATAATATTGTTAATACTTCATTACTTTTACAATAGCAGCAAATCATAAAATTATAAATATAACGATACTGATAATAATATTACAATAATTATAATAATAATAACACAATAAACAAAGCAATATTAAGAACAAAAGTAATGACTATATTAATTATATTGATAATAGCAACAATAACAGCATTAGAATCATTTAATAATGATAATGATAATAATAATAACGATGGTTATAGTGATAATATTGATAATAATGATAAAAATGATAATAGTGGCAATGATAATAAAATGATAAAAAAATATAATATTGAAAATGAAAATGCAAATAATAATAATAATGAAAATAATAATAAAAATAATGAAAATAATAATAATAATAATGAAAAAATGATAACAATAATAATACTAATAACAATAATAATACTAACAATAATATCAATAATAACAACAATAACAATAACAATGATAATAATAATAATAATAATAATAATAATAATAATAATAATAATAATAATAATAATAATAATAATAATAATAATGATAACAGTGACAATAATACTAACAACAATAACAATAATAATAATAATAATAATAATAATAATAATAATAATAATAATAATAATAATGATAATAATGATAATGATAATAATGATAATAACAATAATAACAATAATAATGATAATGATAATGATAATGATAATAATAATAATAATAACAATAACACTAATAACTATAATAATAATAATAATACGAACTATAATAAATACTAATGACAATAACAATATTATAAACGTCAGTGTTAATAATAGCAAAAACAACAGACAAACAAAGATAATAATCGAACAAAACCGAACAGAATTAAGAACAAGGATTAAGCAAATAAAAAGCCCACTAAAAGAAATGGAAGAGATGAGACACGAGGGATGGGAAAGAGGGAAAAAAAACATTCACAAGAATATTTCTGGTCAAGACGAAAATAAAAGCATTGGACATGGTGTAATAGCCCTCTACCCCCCACCCCCCCAGAGAGAGGAAGGGAGGGAAGGGGGGAGGGAGGGAGAAAAGGAAGGAGGGAAAGAGGGAGGGAGGGAGGAAAGGAAGGAGGAAAAGAGAGAGGGAGAGAGAGAGAGAGAGAGAGAGAGAGAGAGAGAGAGAGAGAGAGAGAGAGAGAGAGAGAGAGAGAGAGAGAGAGAGAGAGAGAGAGAGAGAGAGAGAGAGAGAGGGGGAGAGAGAGAGAGAGAAACACATATCTACTGTATTTTCACCTATCTTTACATTATAATACAACATTGTAATATCTCGACAGTCTTTACTTTCGTTTCGAAAATATACCAAAATACATCGCTTTTTCCTTTACACAAAAAAGTCTAAACGAAACTTATATAGCAATGTAGCGATTTTTTTTTTTTTACCTTTCAACTTTTTTTTTTGCTGTTTACTTTCTAAAACGGAACTGAATGAAGCGTCAAACACGGCGTAGAACCTCTGAACCGATACAGCTGTATGATAATAATATCCTTCAGAAAGGAAAGTGATATGAGGAAGGAACAACCTGTTCAGACCCTAGCTATTCTATTTAAAAATTCGATTCTGCCATTCGGAAGAGTCAAATCTGACATATATATTTTTCTTACTGTGGTTGTTTTTGCGGTGGGATATATTCTTATTTATATTACGTAATTGCGTGTTGTCGTAGATTGAGTATGCTTGGTATGTCTATGAATTATAACAGGTGCGCGTGAGCTGTGTTTGTGCGAGGAATGCCTGATGATTGTGGGCATGTGGGCATTCGCAAGCACATGCTGACCGTTTGAATGTCTTGAAGTCTGTGTATTCACCATGCACGTTATCATATATATTTATTTATATATTTTTTTTTGGATTATGTGCGTATAGGCCTACATTGCATAAACACTGTCGAACATTAACGAACTGATGAAGTACCATGTCTTATTTGATTAAGAAATAACGTTTATATTTCACATTTATACACTATACATGAACCTCACTGAACCACTGACTCATCCCCCACTAAATCTATTTAAGGAACAACAAAAAGAGAAAATATATGGGTCTACCTTCCTTTTGTACAATCTGTATGAACAACACTGAACCTTTTGAACTATTCTTACCTATACCTTTCCCATTCAAGGGTATGTCATAAGCCTACTTTGCATTCCTACAAATTCTACAAAAAATCAAATGAACTATTTGAACTATTCTTAC